TACCATTTTTATGTCCCCTTCAGCCCCCCTAATTTTTAAAAAATATTAGTCTATTTATTTATGACTGTGACCAAATAATAGTTTCTAAAACTCTAGTATAAAAGAGCACTGGCAACTTTGTAAACCAATGTCAATATACGATGAATAATTAATAGGTGTTATTTATTCATAAATTGCTAGGGAAATTTGCATATCCTTTCCTGGAGGAATAAAAAATGGGCTACTTTGTTCTTCCAAGCTTCTACTCAGCCGTAACAAGTACAGAGCAAAGCCGCCTAGACAACAACCTGTGGTGATCTCCAAACGCCTTGCACTGCTGCCTCCCAGGGAGCTGGCCCACAGGGCGGGGCCTCTCAGCATACGCCGGGGCTGTACGCAGGCAAGAGGAAGACACTGCTTCTGACACATGCGAGGGCCTTGAAGGGAGCTTCCCAGAAACGGTGATCCCACGAGGTTAGTACGTGTGCCCTTTTGACTGATTAGTGGACTGAGTATCAAGAGATAGAAATTTGCAGAAAATCATGCAACGGGTCATGGGAGGAGTTCAGTTCAAAACCAGTTCTTTCTGGCTCCAGAGCTCAGGTGTTCTGGAACACCTCAGATGGAACTGACCCTCTCTGCCCCACACCGCCCGAGACCAGCTCCTGTTCCGTCCTATTAACCTCCTGCCAAGGGTTCTAATCTCTGCCCTGCACTCACTGACCTCCTCGACACAAGTAATTCTCTCCTGTCTGTTCCTTTCTTTCTTTTTTTAATCCTCACCTGAGGATATGTTTTAATTGATCTTAGAGAGAGAAGAAGGGGGCAGAAAGAGAGAGGGATTGATTTACTGCCTACTGTGCATACCTGGAATGGGGCTCGAACCCGAAACCTCGGTATGCGCCCGGCCCAGGCGCATCCCCTTTCGGTGTAGGGGATGGCACTCCAGCTGACCGAACCACCGGCCCGGTGGCTCCCTTCCGTAGGCATGAAGGGTCACTGCTCCCATCAGAGATCCGGATCACTGCCAGCGTTCAGGCCATTCTGTAACCCGAGTTCCCTTTCCGTGTCAAATGGGGCCTCTCCTTCCGGAGCAGCTTCCTCCCAGTCAGCCCCGTCCTCCTCCGCACTCTGTTTCTAACCGAATTCCGAGCAGCACTGCGTTTGCCTCTCTGCATGCAGCCGTGCGGAGTGGCGATGCAGCCCTCGCCGTGCACCGTCTCGCCGGGAGACAGCAGTGCAGCGACCGCGTTGCATTTGGATTTTAAACAGCCTGAATCTAAACAGCAAACGGCTGTGCCCCCGGGACAATTCCCAAGTCGCTGCTGAGCGGAGGCTCTGCCTCGCTGCCGCTCTGCAACATGACGAGGCTCAGACGCCTGTTCTCTCCGAGGGAAACATCTTTAATTGGAGAAAGTAGGAGAAGAAAACAATTGGGCCAAGTTTTCTCAGAGGATCTGAAACTGCTTTTCACAGCTCACTTATGAGTTTATCCCTTCTCCTACTCTTGCCGCAACCCCACAGATACACAGGCATGTCGCTCTTTTTCAGAAATTAGTCGTTTATAAAGAAACCAGTTATTTTCACCAAAGCAATCCATAATGGCATTTTAAAAGCTGGTGGCATTACTGGCAATTCAGTCAAAGGCAAATATGTGACAGGGTTGGATGGTGTGCCCAGCATTCTCCTTGTTAGTGGTCAAGTTCAGCAAAAACGGTGACGTTTTCTGGACTGGCCATTGAAATTTACTCATGTCTTCAAAAGATAAAGAATATCACATTCTACACGTCATCTCAAACTCCCTGAAACAGAACTCCAGGCTCAGCCGTCTCTCAGCTAGACCGATTCCACGCAGCCAATGACAAGTCACCCCAAATTCCCTCCAAGCACCCACAGTCGACTCTCCACACACGAACCCCCCTAGTGCCAGTCACACCAAGACTGAAGACCCGCCACAGCCTGCAAGGCCCTGCGTGACCACCTGACCTGCCAGCCCCTTCCCGCCTGGGGCGCCTCGTCCGCACCCCTGTCCCCCTCACTCCAGCACTGACTCAACGCTGACCTTCTTGCTAATTTTTTTTTCAATTTGCAAAGCACGTTGCCATCCCTGGGCTCTTGCGCTTGTGTGTCCTCTGCCTGGAACTCACTTCTCAAAGGGATCTGACTGGTGAGCGCTCCCACCTCATGAAATCGCCGGGTCAGTGCCACCTTACCGAGAGGACGTCTCTGCTCCACCCCATAATGCCCTCTCCCCTCCGGGGCGTTAGCTCTTCTTAGCACCGACCGCCCGCTGCTGTGACACACGTGTGTCCATTCTCCCTCTCCCCCCGGGGAACGTCAGCTCCCCATGAGGGCAAAGACAGTGCGAGCTCCCACTGCAGTCCCAAACCGAGAATGCGGCCGGAAATAAGTGGGCATGCACGAGCACACCTTGAACTCATCAATGAAGGTGCAAAAAGTGAAATCAGTCAAAATTATTTAGAAATTAAAATTCCAAGTTATGTTTTCACTCATGGTTTCTAATGTTTATTTGTGAGTCATTTCCCCTCCTTCTGAAATACTGTCTTTTTGGAAATGTCATTCTTTACGAACTGCAGTTACCCTGGGTAAAACTGTCCACCGAGGTGTCTGCCCCTCAGCGTTCAGCCAAGGAGTGGGTACAAACACCCACACCCACTATATAATAATAATAATCTGACTCCCTGGAACCAAAATGTGAGCCCCACAGCCTCAGTCAAAACAGACCCAGTGCTGCCTCTGGAGAGCCCCCAGCGTGGGACATCATCCCCTGGGCATCACTCCAGTGACTCTGGGACATCAGCTCCTGGTCATCACTCCAGTGACTCTGGGACATCATCCCCTGGGCATCACTCCAGTGACTCTGGGACATCATCTCCTGGGCATCACTCCAGTGACTCTGGGACATCATCTCCTGGGCATCACTCCAGTGACTCTAGGACATCAGCTCCTGGGTATCACTCCAGTGACTCTGGGACATCATCTCCTGGGCATCACTCCAGTGACTCTAGGACATCAGCTCCTGGGTATCACTCCAGTGACTCTGGGATATCAGCTCCTGGGCATCACTCCAGTGACTCCGGGACATCATCTCCTGGGCATCACTCCAGTGACTCCGGGACATCATCTCCTGGGCATCACTCCAGTGACTCTAGGACATCAGCTCCTGGGTATCACTCCAGTGACTCTGGGATATCAGCTCCTGGGCATCACTCCAGTGAGTCTGGGACATCAGCTCCTGGGTATCACTCCAGTGACTCTGGGACATCAGCTCCTGGGCATCACTCTTCCACTTGGGAGCAGCCAATACTCTTGCATGGATTTCCCCTCTCTCCCCACCATTTCTTTTCAATTAACCAGAGCTGCTGAATTGCGGTAGAAAGTAAGAAATAATCAACACGATTAAGCCAAATCACACCAAATTATCAATGGGCAGTAGTTTCTTTATCTTGTCAGGCAATTTGCATTTCTTTAAAAAGAGCCTACTGCTATTCAAAATTAATTTTTTTGTTAAAATCACAGGCAGAATGACACAGTGGAGATTTTTAGAGAGTGTAAGGTAGCTGCTTTTGCAATGTATGCCCTGGTCAGTGTTGCTCACTAGTTAAAGCATGGGTCCACCCTCACACAGAAGGGTCAGGGGTTTGATTCCTGGTCAAGGGCATGTCCCTGGGTTGTAGGTTCTATCCCCGGCTCCAGTCAGAGCATGTATGCAAGGCAACCAATTGATGTTTCTCTCTCTCTCCTTACCCGCTTTGCACTCTCTCTAAAAATCAATGGGAAAAATACCCTTGGGTGAAGATGAACAGCAACAAGAACATGTTGTCATGTCATGAAGTAGTCCATCAGTCTGGTCATGGTTCAACGAGTCAGAGGTAAACAGAGGGCTACCCCTGACCACTTCCCATTGATAAACGGGTTTCAGTTGAACTACTTGTGTGTGTACATAAAGCACACAGCCTATTCCAAATGGGAGTAACAGGATCAGAAAGAGATTTATAATGTTACCATATATGGCTAACACACCCTAAGAAGACTATCTAATCCCCTCTCACTGAGTTTTGGGATGGGGACAAAACCAATGATTTGTTTCTAATCAACAGAACCTGGCCAAGGTCAGGTATCTGCAGGCCAATGGTCAGGCGACATGGATTTCATTTTAGCAGAATGAGAGAGAGAGCCCCAGCCTGGCTGGCTTTGATGATGGAAGCTTCCACGTTGTAGAAGGTCCTAACCAGGATCATGCAGCAAGGATCTGTGGGAGCCAGGAAGAGAGCAGGGGCCTCAGTTCCACAACCACATGGAACTGAATTCTGCCAATAACACAAGTGAACTTGGAAGACAACCTCATGCTCCAGAAAGGAACACACCTTGACTGAAGCCTGGGGGACACGAGCAGAGGACCTGGCCAAACTTTGTCCAGAGAGATAATAAACGTATGTTGTTTAAAGCCACTCAGTTGATGACAATTCATTACACAGCAACAGAAAACGAAGGCACTCATGTATGCAGGAAACAAGAAGATAAAAAGCATGTTCTGTAGAAGAACAAACATGAATTGTAGATTGAACTCATGCATTGCTCTTTTATTTACCCGCTTAGCTAGTGTGTACACCTCAAAGCAGCAATGTGAGGCTTTAATCAGAAATGTGGTGGAGAGAAGTGATAGCCTTGTGTGAACATTCAACCTCCGCACACTGGGCTCCTTCTCACGTGCTCCCTCTGTCCCTCCGTGGCTGCATCGCAACCACAGCACACTTCGCTGCAAACAACCCACTTCAAACAGATAAAAGGCCAGCCCGGCCGGTGTGGCTCAGTGCATTGAGCATCGTTCCACGCACTGAAAGTTGCTGGTTCGATTCCTGGTCAGGGCACAAACCCAGGTTCTGGCTTGATCCCCAGTGGGGGGGCGTGCAGAAGTCAGCGGATCCATGTTCTGCTCTCATATCAGTACTTCCCTCCCCCTAAAAATCAATTTTTAAAAAATCTCTAAAATTACTTACAATTTCTTTAGGATAGCCAGGAATTCTTCTACTTTCTCTTCAAATTTTTTGGGTGCATATGAATGGCCACCATGTACTTCTTTAATGTAGATGGCTATGTTGTGACTGTTGTCCTCAGATGGCTGGGATTGGCTTTCTTCTGTTTCCCCAGAGGGTTTTCTGAACAAGGAAACACAACATGTATGCTTTGCACACTGCCCGCAAAATACTGACGCGAACTGTTGGTTCATGGTCAAGAGTGGAAATGCACTCTTCTGAGATAATTTGACATTTTAATAATATCTTCCTTCCCAATGCCTTAGTTTTTTTGTTTGTTTGTTTGTTTGTTTTGTTAATCTTCACCTAAGGATATTTTTATTGATTTTAGAGACAGAGAAGAAGTGAGAGAGAGAAACATTGACATGGGAGAGAAACATCAACCCAGTACTTCCCATACACACCCAACCAGGGATGGGACCCACAACCTAGGTATGTGCCCTGACCAGGAATCGAACCACAACCTTTTTAGTGTATGGGATGACATTCCAAACAACTGAGCCTCCTGGCTGGGCTGTCTTGGTGTTTTTCAATCATCAGTAGTGCAGTTAAACATGTCACTCTGTTAAATCTAAACATTAGCATACATACAATATTTCCTACATACAGAATTTTAGTGGAGATGGTATCACTGTCTGACCTGATTGGAACATAACAAATTAATTGTTCATAATCTAGAAAAATGCTTCCAGTCAATGGTTAACACCCTGTCTTTACACATAAACACATGTTTTTCAGTGTGTGTGTGTTTAGCATCAATGTTATAAGTACTTTTTAAGAACTTGTGTTTCCAACTGATAAATTATGAACATTTTGAAAGCAGACAGCACACTTTATTCTTGTACTACATGAGTCACGTACATAAGTCCCCAAGGGATGTAAGAATGAATGACCATTTCTCATTCATTTTCCCAGCTCCAAACATTCCTATTAAGAGATCACTGAAAACCTAAGGGCAAAGAATCTAACAAATATGTCCATCCTTAAGAAAACATAGTGGAGGAGATGATTAGAAGAAAACAGAAACCAAAGATCATAGATTCGATGCCTTTGGTTATATACATGAGAACATTTGTTTAAAGAGAAGTTAAATACAATATAAACACTGCATGGAATGCAACAATGGTGTCAAAGAAGAAAGAACTGAGGCTGCAAAGTAGACAACCTGTATTTGCGGTGTTCAGGGGTTCCAGTGTGCGAGTGGCGGACCCAGGAGGAAACCAGAGCTGGGCCCTGAGGAGGCAGAGAAAGCCAGAGGTTAGAAAGGCAAAAGCCACAAATCATTCTGAGATGCTTCCTGTGGGCTGTCTTCACAGGGCCTTCTACTCCATCTGAAAGGGACTGGTCAGGTCCGGGCAAGCCCCTGGGGTAGGCGTCGGCATGGAAACAGGGAGGTAAAATGCAGCACACCCTTGCGGCAAGCGGGCACACACCCCATTCAGAAGCGAATCTGACTTCCCCAGGGGCCCCCGGCCCAGGGTTAGGGCCCTTGACATAGGCGACTCCATTTCAGATTTTGTTGTTGTGTTGTTCACAATCACATCATACATTAACACCTAACACATATTTGAGTCCTTAAATGTGCTGGCTACTCTGTTAGACATTATACACACCTATCTCCTTAACAGTAGCCGTGTGAGATAATTGACATTATCTTTCACTTATAAAATAAGGAAAATGCAGCCTCAGTTTGCATAATGTGTCTCACTGTTTATAGCTGGTAGAGCTGGAGAGAGTTCTTTAAATTTATCTAAAGACCACAGGATATTAAAGCTTAGTCGTGAAACACTGACCAGGAGTGTACAGAAAGGAGTCGCCTTAGCATAACTTATAAAGCTAAAATTAAAGCCAAAATCATTTCCCCTGCCCAGCCTTTCACAAAACCTCAGCCATTCCCTCCACGGAGTCCTAGACCCCTACCTAAAACTCAATCCCTAGTTACTCCTGTAAGCAGATTACAATACTAAGTACAATAACACCTGGCAGTGATGAGAATTCCGACATAAAGCAATGGGCTGTTGTCCTCCCTGGCCCTGATTCTCCAATGCAGATGGTATAACATGTTCTCATCTCCTGGAGAAGAGGAGGTTCATGGAGTGCACGGAAGGTGGAGGGAGAGATAGTGGACTTAGAGGCAGAAATGTGGAAAGGGAGGCCCCTGGACTCTCTCTGACATTTATCACATGTGCCCACGGCAGGAGGGCCCTGGAATTCCTGCCTTGTATCGGAACCTTAAGCCCACCAACAGATTCAAAATCATCCCCAAAGGTGCTTCAGAGACGGAAACCACCAGGAAATACCAAACCACCAAAACAACAGAAACAAGGGTGGCCACACTAATTGATTAATTATTGATAGATTGCTTACATTGTGCCTTATGTTCTTCAGGAAATGGTAGAAAACAATCCTCATCATTATATTTATGTAACAAAACTAGAAAAAACACAATATGTGTAGTCTAAAAAATCCAGTCATACAAAATTTAAAATCATGTTAGAAGAGGTTAATAAAGGACGTGTCCAAGCAGGCCAAGCAGGCAGGTGGTCTCAGGAGGTCAGGGACACTTTGAAGAAATATCTCTTTAACGTGGGTTTTCACAATTTATGAATGCTTATTATCTGTTTTCTCAATGACTATCATTTTCTTAAACTTCTCTTTTTTTTCTTCCAGAAATAAAATGATGTAAAGTTACATGATTAAAAAGTCTACACCTTTTCTTGTTGTTTAAAAAGGGTGACATTAAATTTTCTGAAGCAAACAACTCCGTGATTTGTTTAAATTGCTGTTAAGATTATATGTATTACTTCTTTGCTGTTGTCTAACCTGTTTGAAGAAAGGTAGAATTTTGTGACAGGTGGTATAAATCTACATAAATCACCGTCATCTAAAATCCATGATAATAATAAGAGCTGGGGCAGTTAAAAAGCTCCTTCAATGCCTGACTTTAAAGTGTGATATTAATATTTTGCTCTTTTTCTGAGCAAAAGCTGAGTGCAGTCAATGTTCAGAGACTATACCGAAGTCAGGTTGCTGCTTTTGGGTAAAACGAAACCTCAAATCCAAGTTTTCTATGTCCAAAGTCAGTGTTCTTTTTAAATAATGTGTCTGTGCATTAGATTTCCTACATCTGTGAATATGCCAAAAATTTGCCTTCTGTCTAGCTGATCCATGAATCAGATACGTTTTAGATAAAGATCAGGTCCCAAGCAGTCGTGGTCTCTTTCCTGTCCTGCACTCAGTTTCGCTCAAATGGAATTGCTCTCGCTGCGTCTCAGCCAGGCCTTCCATGTATGTTCGATCGTGTGGTATTGCTGCAAGTGGACCCAGTGGTTCACCCAGCATCTCTCTGCTCCCCTGGCGCCTGACCATCTTCCTTTAATCCTCAGCAAAGGTCCTGATATCAGACGTTCTCACAGCTGCCCTCAGTGAGGTGCCCTTCTGCAGAGTCCTCCTATTGTATCTGCCCCGTGACATGTGAATTACGGGGTGTTGACCACGACAACGTGTAACAGATAAAGGCTGTTGATGAGCAATTGTAACAGTGTAGGCATTTAGAGTCTGCTGCGATCCGTGTTTCCTGGTCGATCTCGCCCTGCCAGAGCCTCTGTGAGCCCGGGGCGCCACCCCCACAGCCTGGCATGTGCGGGCGCACCCCGTCACACGGGGGCCGGGGAGGCTGAGCTCGGAGAAGACACACTTTCCTCATATATTTTGTGAAATTTATTTTAATTCCGTTTAAAGTATTTTCACTGCTATTTTAGAGTAAATTTCTTTCTGGCTGGACATACAAACGTTTTGGATTTCTTTTATTTTTTAGGTATTTTTATTGATGTTTAGAGGGAAAGAAAGAAAGAGGTGGAGAGAGAGAAACATCCACGTGAGAGGAAAATACAGATCAACTGCCTCCAGAAACCTGGGCATGTGCACTGACCGGGAATCGAACCAGCAACCCCTTAGTGCACAGGATGACGCTCAGCCCACTGAGGCACCTGGCCAGGGCTGTTTGTATTTCTTAATAGTCACCTTACTGCCACATGAGAGGTAAAAGCATAATTGAACTTTGACTGTGAGACACGGATACTGAATTTCATCAAATGTCCTTTCATCATCTCCAGATAGAATCATATAGTTTCTCTTTGGGCTGCTAATATTATAAAATTATAATACTGGCTTTTTTAATGTTGAGCATTCTTTTTTCCTTTTATTGATTTTAGAGAAAGAAAGGAAGTAAGAAGGAGAGAGAGATAGAAACATCGATGAGAGAGAACATCAACTGGCTGCCTCCTGCACGCCCCCCACTGGGGATCGGGCCCACAACCTGGGCATGTGCCCTGACCAGGAATCAAACCAGCGACCTCCTGGTGCAGGGTCGATGCTCAACTACTGAGCCACACCAGCCGGGTTAATGTTGAGCATTCTTTACACTCATAAGATGAAGCCAACTTAACTATGATGTACAAATCTGCTAATACATTATTTCATTTGCTAATATTTTATTTTGTATGTTTGCCTATAGTCATAATCAAAATTGGTATGTCTTATGTATGAAATTTTGATATCAGAGTTATATGTTCATGGCAAACTTACAACCTACTTTTCATTGTGTATATTCCTGGATAATTAAATTGCATAGAAATTACTTTTTCTTAAAAGAAACTTTTAATGATATCACTTGAGCTGAGTTTTGTTTTGTTTTTTTTTTGGGGGGGGGTTCATTTTTATTTTTGTTCTTTTTTGCCTCAAACTATATTTTTGAAGAGTGCTTCTCAAATTTTTCTATTTCTAGCATCATTTTTTAAATATTCTATCTTCTTGAATAAATTTAGTGCATTTTTTAAGAAAACTAACTAATAACATTTAGATTATCAAATTCACCTCATTAAATAAAGTATTATGTCATAATTTACAATGTCCTTAGTTTTCTCTGTATCATTTATTGGATTATCTTTCTCATTCCTAATAGTATTTTCACTTACTATGTTTATTAGACAAGGCTAGTTATTTATTTATGTTAATGATAATACTCAGGAAGTAACACACATTTATTAGTCCCAATAATCATACCACGTCATTAAAACTCCTGCAAAATGACCTCATGATCCTCGCTTCCCCGCGGTCTCTGCCCCCCTGCTGCTCCCCGCACCTACACACACGTGTCAAGCCCCCTTGCAAAAGCAGACATCATTACCTTTTCCCCTCCTGTTTGGGGAGCTTGGGGAGTCTGGTTTTCCTCTGCAGGAATATTTTAGGATATTGCCTTATAAACTCATTGTGAGCTGACAGGATACTCAAAGAACTCCGGCTTCAAAAAGAGAGAGAAAGAGGAAAAGAAATTAAATTGTAAATAGATTAGATAATAGCTTCCAAGGGGAAGATTTTTAATTCAGTACATACAACTTAATTCTATACTATTTAGTGTAAGAAGCAAATAACAACAATGTGGAACAAACATTTTATGCTTTAAAAATACCCACTATAGACATTGTCTGTACTGTGCTTCAGAGAAATCGTTCAAGAATGTCAGATGTATGGCAGTCAAAGTAAAAATGTTCCTTTTAAGTTGAAGCTTTTTAAACATAAATGTCTGTCAGCGGGTCTCAACTTGTGAGTCGTGACCTCTTCAGGGATCGAACAACCCTTTCATAGGAGTCGCCTAAGACATAACAGTAGTAAAATTACAGTTATGAAGTAGCAACAAAAATAATTTGATGGTTGGGGGGTCACCACAACATGAGGAGCTGCATTAAAGGGTCACGGCATCAGGAAGGCTGAGAACCACAGAATTAAAGTCTTGTATAGAACATAGCAGACAATTAAAATTTCTCCAAAATGATCAGCATACAGCTTACATCACTGGAAAGCGCATTTCCCTGGACCTCCGCAATGACCATCTGACGCACTGTTTCTAGGAAAGACCAGCATTGCCCAAACCCAGCGATCACTGGGACCATCGGGGACGCTTTGTTTAAGTGGTGCTTTTCTTGTGGAAGCAAGAGCTCCAAGCCTGGAGTCTGGGGCTTCTCTACCTTAAATCCCCCCACCCCAGGTGGTGCCTATTGGCAGCCAAGCATCAACCCACTGCAGATTTTAAAATGTCAGCAAGATCCACTGTCATTCAGGGTCAGGTAATGACATTTGCTTTTGGAATATCTGCCTCATTCAATTTTCCATTGACAACCACTACAAAAGGTTGGTTGATTTTTTTTTTTTTTTTATCCTCACCCGAGGATATTTTTCCATTTTTTGTACAGATAGAGTGGGAGGGAGAGAGAGGAAGGGAGAGAGAGAGAGAAACATCGATGTGAAGGGACACATCGAGTGGCTGCCACCCGCACGACCAACCAGGGCCGGGGACAAACTGCAACCCAAGTACGTGCCCTTAGCGGGAACCGAACCCGGGTCTCTCCGGACCGCAGGCTGACGCTCTAACCGCTGGACCAAACTGGCCGGGGCAGGTTGGTTGATTTTAAAAATGCCAAACAGCCTGGCATGGCTCAGTGGTTGGGCATCAACCCTGCACCAATAGGTCACCAATTTGATCCCTGGTCAGGGCAATTGCCCAGGTTGTGGGCCTGATCCCCAGTGGGGGACATGCAGGAGGCGGTCAATCTATGTTCTTTCTTTCTTTCTTTTTTTTTTTTATCCTTGCCAGAGTACATATTTTGCATTTATCTTCAGATAGAGGGGGAGGAAAAGAGGGGGAAAGAGAGAAAAACATTGATGTGAGACAGACACATTGACTAGTGGCCACCCACAAGACCCCAGTTCACGACCCCAACCAGGGCCAGGGACAAACTGCAACCAAGGTACGTGCCCTTAGTGGGAACCGAACCCGGGTCTCTCTGGTCCGCAGGCCAACGCTCTAACCGCTGAGCCAAACCGGCCAGGACAATCAATGTTCTTTCTCATCAGTGTTTCTATCTCTCTCTCTCCCTTACTCTCTCTAAAATCAATAAAGACAAAAACTTTAAAACAAAAAAAATTATTTAAAAAAATAATAGTAAATAAATAAAAATGCCAAACAATTCATCTTGCCAGCTTATTTCAATAATTATCAGAATTAACCACACTGAAAATTTAACACTGATAAACATCTTCATCAATATTTGCTCATAGCAGTGAATGTAAAAATTTCTAAGAGAAAACATTTCTTATTTTATTGTCAATGTAAACAGTAACAACACAAGTAAAATATTTATAAGGTGTTTTTTCTTTTTTCTCTTGACCAAAGCTCCTAAAACACTGTATTAATTCTTTGCAAATAGTATATATTTTAAGAAGATTGTTAAACTTAATTTGACCTAATTGATTCAGATAATGCAGTGTGCATATAATTTAATTTGATATTAGACACTTTCATTCTTACTCTTTTTTGTAAATGTTTTGTATTGATTTTTAGAGACAGAGGAAGGCAGAGGGAGAGAGAGAGAGAAAAAAAAAATCAATGTGAGAGGAAACCATCGATCAGTTGCCTCCCATATGCACCCTGACCAGGGATGGAACCCAAACCTGTTTATGTGCCGTGACTGAGAATTGAACCAGTGACCCTTCAGTTCACAGGACAATGCTCAACCACTGAGCCACACCAGCCAGGGCCTCATTCCTACTCTTACATTATAGAGATACCAAGAACTCACTCCTTTTAAATTCAACCACTGCCCTGGTCGGTTTGGCTCAGTGGTTAGAGCATTGGCCCGCAGACCGGAGAGGCCCGGGTTCGGTTCCTGCTAAGGCCATATACCTCGGTTGCAGTTTGTCCCTGGCTCTGGTTGGGGTCATGTGGGTGGCAGCCACTTAATGTGTCTCTCTCACGTCAATGTTTCTCTCTCTCCCTCCCTCTCTGTCTAAAGGTAAATGCAAAATGTCCTCAGGTAAGGATAAAAAATAAAAATAAAAAATAAATAAATAAAGTAAATCCAACCACTGATATCACTGGAAGCTTTTCCAAGATCTTTTTTTTTCCATTTGGAAATGAGGTTCTTCAGTCATGAGTTTTACACACTTACCTGTTATATATTAGGAGCTTGTTATGTGCAACACACTGCACTAACCTCTTTACATTGTCTCTGTCTCTCTGTAAATTTATATAACCCGACAGGGCTGGTATACTTTCTGTCCATTCCATCCCAACAGAAACTAAAAACTCAGTAATTTGCTTAATTCATGTAACTAGGAACCACAGGCTGCAGAGTACTAATGAAAACTGAATTGATTTCAAACCCATTCTCTTAACCTTCTAGGTAGATTCGCCCCCTCCCCCTAAACAATAAAACATGTCAGTTCCCACTACACACCAGGCATGACAGGCTGTTTCCATGTATCGGATTGTTTCACCCTAACACAGACATGATCTGACACTCTTGTCTTCCCATTTTGTAGACAAGGAAACTGGGGCCCCGCAGCTGGGAAACGGCGGGGCCAGGATCCAGACCAGGCACCCCGACTGCAGGGGGCCAGGCCAGGCTCCTTCCCGCGGCCGACGCACTGCGCATGAGCAGAGGCGGGCGTGGGAGAGGGAAAGTCATTCTGGGGAGACATCCCGGGAATGTCCAAGAAGCACCCCCTCCTCGTGTTCTCTGGGAGCAGCGGAGGGTGGATGGAAACTCAGAAATGATTTGAAGTGGGGAGGAGGCCCTGGCGCAGAACCGTGGTGAAGGAGAAGACGCCTGGACACTTGGGCATGTTCCCAGCAGCCCGTGGAGGACGAGGCAAGGTCCTTCCTCTGTGCGGGGAGGCTGGAGGGTGGATGGGCACGCATGATACTGAAAAAACTAACTAGTTTTATAACTTCAAAACTCCAACTTGGGCTAAGGAGTTGGCAAAAACAGAGGTTTTCAAAAATTATATTTTCAAGTACAACGTATCTCAGGAATCCTGACTTTGAGCCATGATAGTTCCAGTTCTTTGGCCTTATTAGATGTCATCTACTCATCATCTGTGAGCTCAGGATTTGTGGTTTCAACCATTCTGCTCTGTTTCAGGGGGCAGATTATGCTCAGGGACTGATTCTGTCTTTGCCAGCAATTGATTTATCACAGGTTTGCTGTAGGAATTGGAATAATTTCACAAGCCAATAGTCTCAAGACAGTATCTCTTAATAAACCAGTACAGACATAGCATAGTCCAGACAAATGACAGATCAGTCACACCACTGCTCCAGGCAAGGGGAGACAAAAGGAAGAAAGTCCGTATTTGACAGAGGTGGACCTTTTGTAGGAGTGGGTTACTGGGGGACCCACTTCACCTGACTTCCAGCTGCAAGCTCCAAATCAAAGTCCCTTGTTGCTAGGTCATGTTGCTAGGCAACCAAGGCGGGTGGGCCGGCTGCTAGGGGTATCATCCCAGGACTGGTGCTCGGTTTAGAGCCACTGCCCACCAAAGGGTCGGTCATCTTGGCCACAGCAGGAGCAAATGTCTCCAGGTGTCCCCAGAGGGTTTAGGTCAGCAGACCTTGGTCTCAAGGTCTCCCCGCCATAGTTGCTGTTCTACCTGGTCTATGGCTGAGCCCAAGCTGTCCCCTCAGCACCCCGCCCCTGGGTGCTTCTCCCCAGCAACAGCAGGTGAGGTGTCCGGACACAATTCTCAAGACAACCTTTTTGGTCTTTGTCATTAACTGGTGGACTAAAACAACTTCTGTTAAGTCGTAAACAGGTGGATTAGAAATCACGTCAAATGAATACACAGCACATTGAAAGCTTTCTGCCCCCCGACTGCGGTCTCAGTGCAGAAAGGGCCCAGCGAGGCACGAGTCGTGTTCGTGCCGCATGGAATTGTGCCCCAGAGATATGACATATATGCTCTGTGCCTTTAATCTGGAGAAATATCCTCCCGGTTTTCAAATGTATCATCTGTGTGGTAAATCAGGCATCTGTGAGAGTCAACAATGGTTTGTTTCATACTTTACCCGTGAAACATACACACCAATATTCACTCGAGTGACAGAAATGCATGACTCTTACCTGTCCTGCTGTCTGACCACGTGGCTTAATGCATTCAACTGATCATAATCAATGTGCTTAGGCATTTTCAAGTCTGCAAAAAAAATAATAAATCAATTGAAAATGCAGGCATTTCCTGTAACTGTATTAACCAGGGGTGTAAATGGAGTTTAACTGCACACACCCATCACAAGAAAAGAATGCCATGCCTATAAACGTGAGGCACTAACCATCTTTGACGCACAAGCACAATTGGAAAGTGTGACTAAAACGAGGAAAGAATTCAGTGTTTTTCACTGAGTCAAATTTGTCTGGCATTGTTTGTCTGACTCAAGTAAATGCTGGAGTTTTTACCAGTCGTATAATGTCACTCCTCGGGAAGTAAGCCTTTCAGGATCCCTAGCAAACACCTATGGATGAGAACTGGCTCCCAAAACCCAGACCAGCCAATCCAAAACAGAGTTTTCCTAAGGTCTGCCTCTGTGTCTCTCCCTGGAAGCCCGGTCACTTTGATTGGATCCCATGCAGGTCCCCACCCTTGGCTAGCCCCCTCCAGAGCACCTGCAGTGGCTAGATCCAGTATGCATCTTTCTGAAGCTCGAGGGCAAGCAGATCACACAAGATCCTGTAAGAGCAGGAAGACGGTCACCACAGCCCAGAGGCGACCCAGCTCTGATTGCCCCGCCTGGCCAGAGGGAAGGGTGTCCTCCGGAGGGAGCGAGGGAAGACAGCGGAAGACGACAGCATCTCACGCTGGCCACGCACCTCCCGCCCCCAGGAAAGTGCGCCCCACGAGGAAGGCCGAGAACCGAGAACGGGAAGCAGAGATGGGCACCCACCGCAGCACCCCTCCCTGGGGGAGAGGCTCTGAGCACAGCAGCAGCTTCGTGTGCTTCCAAAACTTTTAAAAATGTATTTAATTGACCACATCCCAACTATGAAGACTTGGTGTTTGACATGTCCAAATGCATACATTTTCATTTTGGTGACTGAACCATGAAATCAGACATTTTTAAGCCTTTAGTGATCTAAAAATCAATAATCAATAACAGATACCACCTTTCCAAATATGAAATTCAAATAAGGGAAATTTAAAGAGAAAACTGATTGTTACCCATATAAATCACACCATTTAATCAGTCTGAAAGTACTAATTACATGATTTTGGCATTTTTCTTATCTACATTACTCAGTTAAGCCTTCAAAACAAAAAATTGCCTAATTGCATTTTAGTGTTATATGGACTAAATTTTTTTTTTTTTTTTTTTTTTTTTTGGTACGTGCCCCTAGTGGGAACCGAACCCGAGTCTCTGGTTCGCAGGCCAAGGCTCCAACCGCTGAGCCCAACCAGCCAGGGCTGGACTAATTATTTAAATGAGGCATGTTACAGCTGGATTATATCAAAAATACTTTCTGTGCACTAATTTTTCTGAAATAGATTATGTAAAACCATAATGACAGCAGACTTTTAGACACATGGATGAAGAAGAGACTTCTACCAACTATTGGTTGAGTCCATTTTCCTGACCTTGTTTAGTGCAGAGTCAAAATAGCCCTGGTGACCAGTGTGGACAGGAAAGGAGGAAGGTGCCATAGAGATTTGGAAAAAGGTTTAGCATTTCTGACTGCAAAGGGGAGCTTTAGCTCTGGCCAGGCGGCTCAGTTGAAATGTCATCTGCACACCAAAAGGTTACTGGTTTGATTCCCGGTCAGGGCAGATACCTAGGTTGTGAGTTTGATCCCCAGTCTGGGGGCATATGGGAGACAACTGATCAATGTTTCTCGCTCTCTAAAAAAAAAATAAATAAAAACATATCCTGGGTGAGGATTTAAAAAAAAAGAAAGAAAGAGAGCTTTAAAACATACATATCTTCATCCTTCAGCTAAAACAACCTACAAAAAAATAAAAATAAATATCACAGGATGGACGTTGTAAGTCTAACAAAGAACAGAAAAATTGAAAATTCACTTTGCCTGAGAAAAGTGATGGCCCTTGAGGGTAAGACTTTACTCTGGGCTTGGAACAGCCCCAGCAACTCAAAGCCAGAATAGGCAACATAGTGCTCAGTGCCGAGAAGGACACTTGGCAACTCACTGAACATTTCCTCTTCACTGATCCTCCAAGAGGTTTCTGTCTCAAGGGTCTTCATATAAAGAGTGTGGAGCAACACAATGAATCTTGTCTTTAAAACAGTTTCACTAAGAAGAAAAAGGCCAAAAGATTGCAACATGACATTGTAACTTTGTAAAGACCAGAGCTGAGTTGGTGATCAAATTAATATGGGGATAAAGTTTAAAGCAGTGGTTCTCACCCTATGGTTCACAACTCCTTTGGGAGTTGAACGACCCTATCACAGGGGTCATTTAAGACCATCAGAAAGCACATATTTCCGAGGTCTTAGGAACCGAGACACCGCTCCTCTATCCATCTCCAGGTGGGTCCGCCCACATGCAGATATGCCCACATACAGATACACCCTCATACAAGTACCCAGCATGATGACATCATCGCACTAACCCTATCACATACACCCCGTACAAATACAGGTGCATGTGACAGGGTTGGTGCCATAGTGTACTGATGTGGACCAGTCACACATGTGTAGAGAGCAGCTACTGTGTATAAAGCAGCTACTCTGTTAAAAGCAGCTACTGTGTTGAAAGCAGCAGTATTGGAGGTAAAATGACACTTCATGAATTATAATTACTGGATAAATGTAAAATCATGTACTGTAAAATCATCAACTACTGCAATATATATCTATATGTGTGTGTATATATACACACATATATATGTAAGTGACGCAAGAAGTTCCCCTGCTCTGTGTGCCTGAGAGTCTGAATTTCATGGCAAGGACACAGGACTGGAAGGAAGTCGGTGGGCGGGCGATGTGGTCTCTGACTCCCAGCAGAGGGCCTGCGTAGGCGGCGTGCACAATGCCAGCAAGCCCAGACTTGGTGGGCCGGGTGGCAGGTGCGGGGCATTGTGGGCACTGGGGAAGGAGGCAGAGGCTGCTGTTTTCTGGGCAGAGAACTCATTACATGGGGCACTCTAAAGAGTCTCTGCTCCTGGACAGCTGTGTGAACCACTGCAGGAACCCTCAGCCTCACTATCCTTAACTGTGAAACGGACTGTGTATTTTCCTGTTGCTGTGGCTTAAATCAACACAAAAGCATTATCTTCAGTTCTGGGAGTCAGAAATCTGAACCCGGTCTCACGGGGCTAAAAGGGAGGTAGGTGTCAGAAGGGCTGATTCCTTCCAGAAGTCTCGGGGGGAGAGTCTACATCTTTGCTTTATCCACCCTCTCGGGGCACCCCAACTCCTTGGCTTGTGTCCCCCATCTTCCTTTTACAAAGCCAGCAATGGCCAGTGGACTTGTGTCCCCCAAAATCACTTGCCTCCCATGCCTCCCTCTTCCACAGAGCAGGAAGGACCCTTAAGTCCTGTAATGCGGGACCTGTCCCTGCGCCACCTGCATGCAGCAGAGGGCAGCCCCAGGTTCAGGGACTAGGAAGGGCTGTCAGTGGGGACCAGAACCTCCACCCTCCTCCGACGGTCCTCCAGCGTTCCTGTGAGAAACGAGGAAATGACGTCAGCGTGGATGGTCCCAGAGGAACGGTCCTCACATGTCAAATGTGTGTGCAAGGCAGCCCGGGCTCATTAAACGGAACCTAGGTAACCTCATCCCAATAAACAAGGACGTGACTAGTGGCTGTTTCCTCAAGGTCCTTAGCTGCACCCTCCTATGTACACCCAGTTCATCTGAATCACCCCAAGGTGATCGCTCCTTGATAATTCCGGTCCAGTCATATTGCAGGTTGAAAGCAACCTCACGTCCGCTTTCCCAGACCATTTTTCTGCAGGGACCAACAGAGTTTGCTGAGGGAAACAGTAGACTTGCTAGAATTAGCACAAAGACACAGCTACTAAGCAAGCAGGACACGTCTCCAAAGAGAAGTCTCAGACACAGAGCATCAAGCCAGAGCCTCTGCAGTGGCCGTCTGGGCTGGCAGCTTCCATTAGCTCTGTTCAGTTCTGAGATCCAGACTGACCCTGATTTCTCCTCTTTTAATCACTTCACACACATGGAGTGGCCTTGGAAGACACTAGGGCGGATAGCAAGCATCTCGTCCCAGCGATTCTAAATTAATTTGGTCTTTTCACTCCTAGCTACTGCATTTCCTCCACTCCTAAAAAAAAAAAAACTCCTAAGGGTAACTTTTCTTTTTCACAAATAAAACCTGTACACTAGGAGCTGTGGTTTGGGGCAAAATTACATGTAATCCTTATTCCAACTCGCACTGAGATACAAAACATTGACTATGTACAAAATGTTTTCACAATAATAAAAACATTAAAAAAGTAACATGTAGAAAATAATTTGCTTTAACACAAGAACTTTGTCCAACATTGTTCAAAACCTAACATACCACCCTGCCCGTGTGGCTCAGTGGGTGAGCATTGACCCTGCACCAAGAGGTCACCAGTTTCATTCCCAGCCTAGGATGCAGGCCCGATCCCCAGTGCAGGGCACGCAGGAGGCAGCCAATCGATGTTCTCTCTCCTTGATGTTTCTCTCTCTCTCTCCCTCTCTCTTTCTCAAAAAAAAAAAAAAAATCAACAAAGAAAACTAAAATTTACAACTTAAGTGTACCTCTTCAGGGTTCAATAGCTGCCTGAAACACCTTTTACTGGAGATTATGATCACTAATTTGAAAAGCTACACATTTAGTAGAGCTAACCCAACTCTCACAGGAAGATAAAAGAAGAGATGTGTTAGCATCTTCAGTCAATAGTATAAATTTACCCTGCTATGAAAATAGTGACATATTCAAAAAAGTGATGTTCAATAAAGTAGATGCTTTATCTCATATTGCATATGAATTCCCTTATTATTCATTTATTTCATATTCAATAAAGTAAATGCTTTTTTAAAGTAGAAAGGGTCACAATTGTTAGCTTCGTTGCCTAAAAAATTTTAAATCTCAGCTATCACTAGGACTGCCGCAGATCATTAATTCAGTCCATTGGTAATCAAATAACAGATCTATGATTGCAATAGCTATGACAAGAAGTCTTGAGAAAAATGCCCCAGGTTTAGACCGACTCTATAAAATAAGGAAATACTGTCAATTGTATAAACTTCAAAATATTTAACTTTATATTTATAGTACCTATGATACTGTAAATCAATGACTACAGAATAAAATGAAATGGGAATAAATTTCAGAGCAAGAATGATGGGAATTATCTTTTTCTGTCCTTGAAAATTAAATGTGAAAATTAAATGTGAATTCGCTCCCGAAGGCGGCGAGACCCAGTCCTGTAGTCACCAAAAACCTGCCAGTACCGAGGGGCCAGTCAGCGGGGACCCCTGTGACTGCTCCAGACATTTGTGCTCTGTGCTCTCTAGCAGTGGGTGTCACCGGGAGCCCTCACAGTTCCCACAGACCCTCATTCCGCAAAGGAGAAGACCAGAGACCTAGAAAACTGAAATAACCTTGGGAGGATGAGCACAGGTTGGATTTTCCGCTAATAAACTGTCCATACGGTTGCCGAGGTCCCCACCAACCCCCGAGACCCCGTTCCTGCGTCTGGGACAGGCGCCCGGAGACCAAGCAGACCCAGGAGGCCGCTCACCCGGCACGCTGCGGGGCGGAGGTGGGCCCACGCTGCTGATGGCCTTCATGTGGGACAGGATAGCCGAGCAGAGGGAAGACACGGGCATCCTGACGGCACACAGGCCGCAGAGCAGCGCCACTGCGAGCCCCTGACTTTCCCTTGAACCGTAAAGACAGAACCCCGAGGGCGCCCCTGATAGGCTGGGCCCTTCTGAACCTCCCCTCGAGGTTCTCAGACAATGTGCGTGGTTTCCAGGGGATACGGGGAGGGGCTTCTGGGAGCTGCCGTGGCGGTGGGGGTGGAGGAAGTGATAACCCACAGGGCAGACAGAACAGAATCAACGGCGGGGGCGTCCGATGAATGGAGTAGGAAGAATTCCTGTCACTGCTCCTTGGTAGACTAGAGAACCCTGTCCCTTCCCTGCCTATTAAGATTCACACTGGGTCTCAGACCCTTTTCTAGCAGCTGCTACAGAATATTTCTACACAGGGTAAAACACCCTTCTAGTTACCATACACAACCAACTCAGCCCTGCTGATAATCCAGCGAATTCTGCTGGAGTGTGGTACTCACTGTGGGTGAGCATGTGGGTGAGCTCTGCGGCTGGTCACCACCACCGAGAGCCTTCGCATCTATTTCCTGGCCTCACAACGGGATTAGGTCACCCACAAAAGGACTGCCACTGTCCCTAGAGCCAGACAGACTCTGTCCGCACACCGCCTGGAAACAGGAACGACCCAAACGCAAGATGTCAGTTGTAGTGCAGAAGGAACACATGGATCTTGCCACAGGCCTATTAAACTGCCTCTGTCCATTGGTTAGAGGGTCATCCTTGTGCTGGCCTGTTCTTACCACTTCATCCTGATTAAATAAACAAAAGGCCGACTATGGAGCTTTCAGAGGCGACCTGAGGAAGGACCAGCCGGCCTGTACTCCTCTAAATGAATTTGTCCTCTAAGCGAATTTGTTAGTTTTTAGAACTTAGAAAATAGAATGAATAGCAGGATGACCAGCAGGATAGATGTGTGCTGACCCAGTTCACCCAGCTCCCTTCCACCTCAGCTCCCTCCCACCTCCGCTCCCTCCTGCTTATCGCCAACTGCCTGGGCTTCTGCACTCGCTTGCTCTCCCCCAAGGCCAACAAGAAAGGCCAGTTGCAGAGGTTGTAACAAGCCTCCTATAAAATAAAAAAGTAGCTGAAAGTCGGGGCTGATCTTCGAGAACGTGGGATCAGTCGCCAGCTGGCTTTGCTCTCTATTTGGCTTTAATTTGGGTTCTCTCACACCACAACATTTGGAGGCCCCAGCAAGATCCCTCCCTTACAGGGAAGCCCCAGACCAGACCACTAGGCCAGCTATCAAAACTGCAGGGGGGACTGGTCTGGGGGAAGGCCTCGGAGGGACATTCCTCTGCCTCGGGACTCAGCCTGCCCTCCTAGTTTCCCTAGCCTGGTCTCCAATCCTGCTCTAAATTGAATTCTGAGAGAGCGGCTGGACTCCTCTGAGTCATCTGGAATGTCACCGGTGAGTACTGTTTTCTGTTCAGTCTGGTAGGCGCCTTTCAGTGGCAAGGGGAAGGCTGGACACGGCATTACTTCCCCGGCCAGGTCCCCCTGCGAGACGTCACAGGGAACTTCAGTCAGGTCCCCCAGCAAAATGTCGCAGGGAAGTTCAATCACTTCTGTAACTTTAGTCAGTTGTCAGTTCTGTTTTTTGGTTTCAGTAACTTCGGTTTCAGCCAGTTCTGTCTGTGTTTTTTGGTTGAACTTTGGTTTCAGTCAGTTGTCCGTTCTGTGTTGTTGGTTTTTTTTTGGGGGGGGGGGGGTTTCAGTAACTTTGGTTTCAGCTCTGTCTGTATTTTTTTCTGTTTGTTTATTGGCCCTCCGGATTGTCTGCTGTTGTCTGGTTGCACCTCCCTTTGTTGTCATGGGCCAAAGACAGTCTGGTACAACCTCCATTGCAATGCCTATTGGATAATTTTAAAGATTTCAAAACTAGGGCAAAAAGTTATAATGTCCCAGTAATATAATGTCCCAGTAAGCTCTGGGACCTTACAAACCCTATGTGAACTTGAATGGCCTACCTACAGGGTTAATGGCCACCCAAAGGTAATTTCAGTTTTCAGTTGGCTTCTATGGTCCATCAGAAAACATACAGGAGCCCTGGACACGTGGATCAAATGTCATATATTGACATTTGGATTGATATAACTACAGACAAACCCAATTATATTTTAAAATGTCAGTGTCCAGAGGTTCAAAAGAAAGGAAAAACAGTTTTGTTAATGATGCCTCAGTTGCCCTGAAGAGCAGTAACTCCTCCCAGTCCTCGAGGAAATTATATCTCATCCTTCAGAACCCCCATGAGGATACACTAAAATGTTAACCTGAGTTTGCCTACTTTGGGTTCTTATTTCAGAAAAGTTAGAAGGTGGATTTGGATCTGTTAATGATCTGTTGATTCGGAAAATGTCTATTGAAAATATGAATATATTTGCCAATCTGAGGAATATTAATTACTTGTCACAAAAAAAAAGAGAAAAAAAAAATCAACATTTCTCAGAGTTAAAAGTTCAGAATAAGTTAGAAAGAAATTATATGGTTTTGTTGAAAGAAGATATAAGATATGAAAATATTTATGTTCTTTGAAAGAAAATTGTTCTAAAACTAGTTATTTCTGGATGGATAAAAAGATTTATGAAAATTAAAAGATTTGTTAAGAGAAATCTTAGAAAGAAATCATAAATAAAATAAATAATGAATTGAATAAGATACATAAATCTAAAATAAATTGATATAGAATTTATTTGGTTCTTTTTCAGCCTGTTAAAAGGGAAAAAAGTTTTTTCCCCAATATTTTCCTGGAAAGCAAAAGTCATCTATATTATTGAGATGTTTCTATGTTATGTTAACCAGGTACTTGATTCCTTAAAGACCCATTTTCTTAATCATAAGAACTGAAGTTTCACTGACTTATGTTTATATTTAAAATCTGCTGTTATCACTTTAAATGAATAAATAATTAAATACTGTTTCATAATAATACTATATAATCTTTTGGTCAAATATGTTTGACAACCTTCCCAGGATTTGAATTTTAAGAAACTTTTTTTTGACCTGGAATTAGCTTTGAGTCCTTCCAACAGGACCTGGAATTCCCCAGGGATTTGTTTTCTCTCCTTATGAAAGGAAACCAATCAGTGCAGATGGCTTAGCACAGTCTGTTCCCCACTGGAGCACGGTGAGGGGACAACAGACTCCAAGTGCAAGAACATACACACTACGGAGAGTGATTATTTGTTCACTTAGCAGATGCACAGAATCCCTCTCATATGTGGGTCTCTGCTAATGCTGTGGGCTATACAAACAGTCCTCACTCTCAAGGGGCTTATACTATGAGATATTTGGTAAAGTCATGCTTGGATTATTTAAAGAAAGAACGTGATTAAGCCTCAGAGGCCTGAAGATCAAGCTCTTTTTGGTTTAACTGAGAAAGTTTTTTCTTTCATGATGCTACAATTTACTCACATGTAAAAAAGAAATTATAAAAATAATAAGGATTTAAGATTTATGAATGATAGAACATGGAAAATTGACATGAAAGAATAAAAACGATGATGATGCTTTGCCACTTCCTCCCGCCTTGCTGGCGGGGAGGGCGTCTCTCGGAGCTTCATCTGGGTCCCCTGTGTATGGAAGGACCCGGTGTCTGAACGGACGTGGACGTATTCGGATGCATTGGCTTCTCTGCGGTGAGGGCTCAGTGCCTCTCTGCGAGGCTGATTGACATTCTCACAGGGAGGCTGTTTGACTGCTGATGTGCCGGCCCCTGAATCACTCACCACTCTGTCCTCTGCCGGCCCTTTATGGTGGATGTCCCCTTTCCACTAAGACCTGTATAATCGGAAACAACAAAACCCCTCTTTCTCTGACAAAACCCAAGGATTAATCTCTCTGTTAGAAACTGTGCTCCACACCCCCAGCCCACCTGGGATGATTGTCAGCAGCTCTTACAGGTCCTTCTCACCTCTGGAGAAAGGGCCAGAATCCACAGAGGAGCAGCTAAGGCTGTTCTCAGGCCAGACGGAGAACCCACCTCTGATCCCGACCGTCTGCATCACCTGCCACCCACATCCCCAAGGGAAGGAGGCTCTCGAACAATGTCGCCTGACTATTACGGGACATCCAGGAACAACTAAAAAACCGACCAACTTGTCTAAGGTGAGCGAAACTGTCCAGCGGTCGGGGGAACCCCCCTCCGCTGCCTTAGAGCGTCTGATGGAAGCTGGCCGGCTGTTTACACCATAGGCCCGAAGCCCCTGATAATAAAACAGCTACTAATACTGCTTTTGTTACCCAGCCGGCCGCAGACATTGGGAGGGAATTACAGGACTTAGAGGTCTCGAGGGAAAGCTCAGTTATGCGCTGAGGCGGCCCCCTGTCTGGCCTACGAGCCGAGGGGAGGAAACGGTCCCTCTCCACAAGCCGCACGGAGGCCTTCTGGAAACACCCGACCACAAACACAGAAACAGGGCCGGAGATTTCTAGGAACAACTGGGTGCTGCAGCCTCTGGATACCCCAGTTTGCGGAAATTGCGAAGCCCTTATACACCAATACAGGAGAAAAGACAGACAATTTAACTTGGACTGAAACTGAGGAAGAGGCTTTCCAAGAGCTAAGAGAGACTCTCACCAGCGCCTCGGCCCTGACCCTGCCTGACCTCAATAAGCCTTTCCAGTTATTCATCTCTGAGCCCCGGGGATTGCTAGAGGAGTACTCTCACAGGCCCTCGGTCCCTGCAGAGGTCCAGTGGCCTACCTGTCTAAGAGACTAGACCCAGTAGCCTCTGGGTGGCCACTGCTTGAGGGCCATAGCAGCCACAGCCCTGCTCACTAAGGAAGCCTCTATGCTGACCCTAAGACAAGATTTACAGATTATAGCACCCCATGCTGTTGAAGCCCTGGTCAGGAGTCCCCCTGAACGATGGATGGCCCATGCCAGAATTGTCCAATATCAGGTGCTCTTGTTAGACCCCACAAGAGTTAAATTTCTAAAGACTACTGCCCTAAACCCTGCCACCTTGCTGCCTAATGATGACCCAACAGAG